TTCAGTAGCAGAGGGCCCATAACTGGACGCCGTACTCCACATGTGGCTTCACCAGTGCCAAACAGAGGCGAATAATCATTTCCCTCAATCTGCTGGCAATGCTTCTATTAATGCAACCTGGTATGCTGTTAGTTTTCTTCACAACAAAGGCAAACTGTAGCTTTGTTATTCAACATATGTTACATTGTAACCCCCAGGTCTTTTTCTGCAGAGCTGCTCAATAGCCAATTGGTCTCCAGCCTGTACCAGTTTATAGGACTACTCTGCCCTAAGTGCAGGATTTTGCATTTGTCCTTATTGAACCTCATGAGATTTCTTTTGGTTTAATCCTCCAAACTGTTGAGGTCTCTCTGAATCTAGCCCTACCCTCCAGTGTATCTACTACTTCTTCCAGCTTGGTGTCATCTGCAAACTTACTGAGGGGGCACTCCATCCCATCTTCCAGGTCATTCCTTCAAACTAACACTGGGATACTGTACTCAGCAACTTCATTTCTTAGACACTACAGTACAGGTTTGCAATGGCACTACCACATTTTATTGGAAACCAACTGAGCACCACAGCTAACTTCATTACCCACATTAAGTATCTAGAGCAGGGATTCCTTAAAATTACAATACAATCCCAAAACTAAAGCCACTCAAATCAACAAATCCAGACTCAGACCCAGCTCCAACTTGCTACAATACCAACTCTGGGACAAGGACAACAGAGTCCCTCTGGTTGTCCCCTACAGTATGGCTTGAATACCTCAGACATATCATTAATGATCTACAACTCTTCCTGGAAAAGGATGTTGTTAGTTTATAAGATGCACATCTCTCCTGACTTCAACTTGACTTCAGGCTAACATGGCTAACTATATCTGTCTAGCTAGTTCCTTAAGTCAGAGCTGTGGAACAACCAGGAGGGCTGGGAATGAAAATGGATAGTCAAGACTTCCCTTCTGCTGTCAAAGCCATGCACAGCCTGGTTCCAGGTGGCACACTCAGAGATGGGACAAGGCTGCAGGGGTCCCAAACAAGCAGCTTCCTAAGTTGGCTCTGAAACAGAGCAAGCAAGAGGGAATCCAATCTCGTGCACCAGTGAGTTCTTTGGAGTGGAATTTATCTGGTTTTTCACAAGCTCTACTTAGTCAATTGTTAGCTTCACCCCTTCTTCACATGTCAACAAATCCCCTGCCAGTTAAATTTATGTCCAACAATAAGCGTGAGCATTGTTCCCTTTCTTTTCCTTCCTCACATTCATTTTAGTATCTTCTGTTCATTGCTTGGCCTAGGTGTTAAAGATATAGAGAGTTTTCTACCAAGTTACTGAGTATCCTCAACTCTCAATGAAGCCAAGATGACAAGTGCAGAGTTGGACCCACCCATGCATAACTCCTGTTCCTTAGATTTTTTTCCTCACCTTTTTCTATTAATCTGGTGTTGATGCCCAAGTGAAAAGCATATTTTCTGGGTCTGGTAGCTGTTTTAATGGTTATTTTAACCTTTCCCACCCATCCCAAATCAAAGAGCCTCCTTTCCTAGTTCAGTAGATCTTTGAATACTTTACTATTTCTAGATCTGATCCCTAGATGCAGTTCCCAGTAGGAAAATTCTGAGTAGTGCGTTAGACTCTTTATTTTATGTGGAAGAGCTCTACCCAGGTCTTATTGATGAGCATCCAAAAGGGTGCTGATTTTGGCAAATCCGAAAGGGTGATGAAGCATATTCTAAGCTGGAGCTACATGATCTGTTTTTTGAAAGTGCACCTCTCCAGAAAACTGTGATTTAGCTGACTTCTCAATTGTCTCTATCAAATGAGTCCTACAGAAGCTGCAGTGTGTACTACATAGAATTAATCAGAACATAAAGCTGATTAGCCTGTGCCAAAGCCATCACAATACTCATGCAAACTAAAACATTTAGAAATTTCTCAAGATTTTCTTTCTTCCCCTTATTTAGCTGTTTTCAAAGCATAAAATACATCTTAAAACTGTATGGCTTTGGGTTTTGTGAATTTTTGCCTTTGTGGTTTAGGGTTTTATTTATGAGGTGCCATTCAAGACAAAAGTCATCCCTGACATACTTTACTAGTTCAGTAAATTTTCCATACTTTAATGATCACGCTGAATATTTTACTTCTTACTTTTTAATATACTTCAATGATCAAGTTGTATAACTTAATGATCATGTTCCATAATGTGCCTAAAAGAGCTGCGTAGGTCATTAATTCAGCTACATACTTTACAAGCCAAAATTGCTGCTTACTTGGATGAAGTGAATATTTTAATATCTAGCCTTCTCTGTTGACTGCATGTTCATCTAGGGATGAATGTTACTCCAGGATGGGATGACATTACAAAGGAAGGGAATTTTAGTTTGAACTCAAATAGAAACCCTTGGTTTTGCAGGTATTTGGAGGCAGAGATGATTTTATGGATCTGGTGCTTTTTTATTTTTTTAATTTCCCCTTTTGGCCTGATTTGGATTTTGACTGATGGACTTGTCCTATCTAATCCACCTGTGGCACAGAAAAGGCTTAATTCACTGGGTTAAAAAAAACAAACCCAACTTCTGCACAGAGCCCTGAGCAGTTCCTATAAGATACTGGGTATCCTCCTTTCCCCTGGAAGGAAAATGCTCAGCACCTTGAAACAATGAGTACAAAAGAAGTTGGTGAGAGAGCCCCTTGAGGATCAAGATACAATAGAATAAAACCTTGGCTATCAAACTTAACTAAGTTTAAAACTTGCCGAAGGACCGTTACAATAGCATACACATATACTGCTTTAAAAACAACACATCTGTTGGGACTGATAAACCTCTTTTCTACAAGAGGGTTTACACTGGCATCACTCCATTGAAACCCAGTGTTACACACGCATAACATGAAGTAAACAGAAATCAACTATTATTAAACCAATGTCTGCATAGATCACAATAGATCACACTTGTAAATATATGTCATAATGTTAGATAAAATTTCATTTTGGTAATATATTGGAAAATGTAAATATTTAAAAATATTTTAAAATATTCTAACAGGCTTTTTTAAAAGAACTACAAATAAAATTACTTTTCTTCCACCTGTCTTTAACTGGGCATTGCCTGTTATTAGGGATGTGGTAAAAGATACAATGCTGTAAATGTAAAAACAAAATTCACAAAAATCAAAATATATATTTCAAGCCAACTTATAAAACTGGGGTCACAGTTACGCTTATAATAAACACTATCATAAATCTAACAACTTCTATTAGCAGCTGACATGCCTATAAAATCTATAAAGTCTGCAGTACATTACAAACATTTTAAAGCTTTTTATGGGTCCTTCTTGATGTTAAAATTGCAAGCGCTCTTTTCCTCTTCAGAACAAAACAAACCTTGCAGTTATTTAATTTCTAACAGACTTTTTGATTTGGAATATAAACAGACATGTAATAAAGATCTCATTGGCTTTTCAGTTGCTACTTTATGACATAATATTTAATTACCATATAGTTCTATATGGATTTGTTTTGCACAACATTCTATTATTGCCATAGTAATAAAGTGAAAGGCTTTTTATATGTTTTTTTTTTCCATTGGGTGATCATGTGGAATTTTTTTCATTTTATTTGTGCTTCAAGCGTTACTATGCAAATGAACCAGTAGTTGCTTCTTTATAGAATATCATGCAAGTTATATTACTTTTTTAGAACTACTTTGCTAACACACACAAAATATTTTTCTTGCTTTTGGCCAAATCCATGAATGAACTGCAAAGTAGTGTAGCTTATACTCCGTTACACTTTGGCAAAAATTTAGCGCGGGGGGGAGGAGGGGGGACAGACACATTAACCCTGGGCACCAACTTAGGAAAGACACAAAAACACTAGCTACCACTACCACTGGCAGTCCTTGCCCTATGCCTGACTACCACGGCTCTGCTGACTTATGCCTCTGCTTGGACTCACTTACACTCACTCACCATTGTGTAAGGAATCTGTAGTAAGATATACAAAGGAACTAGAAGAAGGTGAAGGAATATGCATATTAAAACAAGATAATGACTTCTTTAGCCCATAGTTTCTTACATACTTCTGTTAATTATTACATGCAGGGAAGCGTTACATGTGCATGACTGTGAATAGGACAGCAACTTGAATAGGAATCCATGTGGTCACAAGTGCCTGCCCATAGGAACCAGACTCAGGCACAATTAAATGGAAGTGAATCTTAAGCAAGTGTAGAGGAAGTTTAAATTGGTGCAACATGCTCACTGAGGACATCAGAAACAGTTGTAATTTCTACCAATTTAGATTTCCTTTATATTTACTGGGGCTGAGAATATTCAGGCAGTTCATTGTGAATAAGTTTTTAACATGGATTGTATAAACCACATTAAATACTTTTCTGGACACACAAAATCAGAATGAAATTGTCCTTAAACTAGTTTATCTCAATTTGCTTTGCAAGTGGATTAACCTAATTTGGAAAAAAGGGCCCATATACTGGAAAGAGAGATTTCACACAAGATGATAATCAATAAGACCAATTCTACTTCAACTTAATTTTAATTTTATTTTAATCTGTGTCAACTTCCTTAGGTAGATAAGCCCTCAGAATTTGAACTTCTGAGATGTATACTTACCACTCATGTTATAATACTTTTGTTCATAGCAAAACATTTGACTAAGCATTGAAAACCATTTTTAGTAGACTTCTATTCATTTCTCTTAACTCACTGCTTACTCAACAGAACCTTCAGCATTCACTGACTTCAAAAGAACTTCCACAGAGGAAGTTGCATCTAATTCCATCCCAAATTAGCATCTTATGGCAACAGTGCTGCAAACAAATTCCTGTCGATCCAAGGGTTTGCCTACATGGGGGAGCTCATAAGGATGAGCGCCAACAGAAAAAAGATGCCTGAATCTGAGTATTGAACATACCTAGTCTTTTCATTCATTCATTTTGAAGGGGTCTGGGTTCATCTTTCAGTGAAATATCCTATAGCTTGCTAAATTTTCTTACCTCTGAGAGGAAGTGAATATTATACAAGAAAATTTTCCAATCTGCTGTGTGCAGTTCACAAAGCTTCAACTTCTTGAGAAGGTGCCTGAATTGTTTGTTCAATAATTTAAAACAGAAATGGTCAAGTACCTGATGGAACTCCAGCACTTTAACTACCCCAGTGCCCTCCATATCAAACAGGGAAAATGCCAAAGAAAATAAAGAAGGAAGTGACTGTAAAAACATTTAGTATATCAAGACCAATTTCCTTTTAGCATTGCCATTTATTAGTGGCCAATGTTTATAATTGAATGAGATGTACAGGCATTTTGCATATGAAGAAACAAAAGGAGTTTGAACCATTTTGATGAAGTCCTACTAGGATGGGACAGTTGCCAACTGTTCTGAAATCAAACAGCATTTCTATAAAATCAAATAAAAATCATACCATATTCATGTGCATTAAACAAACACATCTTTCACTAAAAGACAACACCTTCTAAAGGCTAAATATGTGATAAGAGCAGGTAGACATTTTATATTATTATATTTTAAATAATTTTAAGATACCCAACTATAACAACTATGATCTCTTATCAGACAAAAAAAGAAATGAACAAAAATGTTTGAGATGTCTGTCTTAAGTAAAGAGAAATTGAACTGGTTGAGGGTACTAGTTTGTACCTATTTTGCAGCATCTGAAGACTTCTGACTGTCTGTTCTACTGATGTTATGTTAACTTTCTCTACCCCCCAAAATATTTTGGGCATGTCTACATGTGTGCCTATACTGTGCAGTAACCGAAATTACTGAGCAGTACGGGCATACATCTACATGTGCACACCCATAGTGCACAGTAAACTGACTTGAGTGTAAATTTGATACCTGGATCATGCAGGTATCAAATTTACACCCAATTAGTTACTGCACAGTAATGCATGTTGCCCCGGGAACAGAGAGGGAAGAAATAACCATAGGTACTTACCGGCAACAAGGAGACACAGCACAGTAGGGGAGGAAAGAAGAGCCCGCATGGCTCGTCAGCCACCTCTTTATTCAATTAAGGCCGGCTGGTCATGCAAGTCCTGAGCGCCAGCCGGCGGGGATAAAAATGGTGGCTGATGCTGTGGAGGGGAGAGGAGGAGAGAGCAGGAAAGGAAGGGGGCTGCAGCTGCCTTTGGGAGGGAAGAGGACCTTCACTACGGGACCCGCAGAGCCTGACAAGCCAGGGGCGGACCCAAACAGCAAGGGGCAAAGCTCCCAGTTGGGAGCGCTAATGGAAAGGCAGGTGAACAGCAGGCACTCCAGACCCGAAAACAGAGCCAGAGGAGCAGCCGACTCTCGAATGGATTCCAGGTGGGAGTATTGGGACGACCAGGGCAAGAGGGGAGTCACGCCAAAGGGAAAGACCCCAGGGAAAGCCCCAAGGGGGGGTTACAATTGGGGTGGGTATCGCCACCAGTCCTGGCCGGGTCAACAAGAGAACGGGAGGGAATCCTGGAGGCGACGGGCCGTAAGAAGAATGCCCCAAGCCACAGTAAGGGGAGGAGTAGTAAGGGGACAGGGTGTAGCCACGTCAGTAGGTGGTCTATCACTTTAGTGTTTTGTTGATGATTTTCTGTTTTGTAGCTCCATGTGAAGGGGAGAAGTAGCGGGTATAGTGAGTATCCCTGAGGAATGGGGCCAAGAGACAGCCTTGGAGACTTTCTTTGTGTTTCCCCGAGAGAAGGGGTGGAGTCTGGGAAGGCAGAAGGAACGGGCCCACATGGGTGAACCTGACCGCCGGTGACAAGCATGCAGACGTCCAGCTGTGGGACATGATTCCACAAGAGGGGACGAGGCAGACGGAAAGACAACATACACAAGGGGGCATGAGGCTGCGGTGTAGGGGTGGCGGAGCCCCGTGAATTACTGCCGGGCGAACCATGGGCCACCGAGCAAACCCGAGGACCAATCCCGTCCACTGAAGAACAACAAGTCGTGGCAGACAAGAACAGGGGAGGCGATTCGAGAAGGAGACACCTGTTAGGTCAACGACACGAGCCCATAGGATGCTCTACATTTACCACCAGGGCAAAAGTCACTCGAGAACGGATATTCAAAGCCCGGCGGCCACACATGTACTGCCTTACTGCGCAGTAACACTTTGTGTGTGGACTGACTTGGGATTAACTTTAGTTCTAAGTCAGTCCACACTAGACCATGCAAAGCTTCAGTAACTTATTTGATTTGGAGGAGATTTGGCCCAATTCAGTGGCTGTATCGCTGAATCTGAATCAAATCAGAAGACGCATTAATCTCTTTGAATTGAATCAGAAGCCTCCCAATAAATTTAAGCTGGCATAAATGCACATGTAGACATGCTCTTTGAGAAGTACCTCTGTTCCCAGGTTTTCTTCTTCTGTTTAAAGGCATAGATCAGAGATGAGCACATGACCTCTGATTTTAGTATCTACGTTCTTGCTTTACCTGGTATAGTACCTGTCCCCTGTGTTTAGGGGGAGTTTTCCAAAGGCTTTTTAGTCCAGGGGAAATGGATTAATTTCAGTGCATCCTGGATTCCATTCCAACACAGGATATTTAAGAGAATGCAAAGAACTAGAGGTATGGCCAATTTCAGGCAACTTGAGTGTATCAAAAGAAGATATCAGGAGGCAATCAACTGGTGGGCATTCTCTATGTCACCCACTCAGTTAGTACTGCCAACCCAATTTAATTCTGTCACCTTATTTTAGTCTGTAATAGACATAAGATGCAAGATATAAAAGCAATTGATTTAAATGTCATACAAGTTTTGAAATTAAGATAGTTCCAGAGACAATTATGGCAAAGTCCTATATGTTTCCTCATGGCTTCATAGGTTGAGGAACATTTTTATGAACATTATTATAAATAATGGCTTCATTTTTTAATAACATTAACTATTGTATATACAGAAAACTTGACATTATTTGCTAAAGTAATTCTGCAATACACTTCATATTATAAATAGATCCCTTGAATATGTAACAGTATTCTTTTAATCTTGGCCTATATTTTTTTCACAATGATGGGATAGTCAAGGTTGGGGTAGGCAGTGTAACCCAGGCATGGTAAAGATGACTGGGAAATGAATACATGGCAGAGAGGTTCCAGCTATATAACTTTTCACTTGAAGACATTTTGTGTTTTGTCTGAAGCATAGATTTTTTTTGAAGAAAATGTGGTGATGGCTTTTGGTTTGTAATTTGAATTGTACTAAACTCCACTTTTAACTTCACCTTTTCCTGATTTTGAGACCAGGTTGTTTAGTACATCTCTTTAAGTAAGTGTGAAAGGCCTCAGAAAGGAGAGGGAGGCTATCATACTCTCCTACACAAGGGCATTTGACATGATTCTTCTTGGACAAAGTCTTGGTTTTTGAGGGTGGAAACAGACATTGCTGGACATTTCATTTGTGCTGCCATAAAAAAGTTTAGAGTGGTACAAATAGCAAGTTAACAGACATTATTACAGTGTTGCACCACATCAAAGGAAAATCAGAGGTGCAACAAAAGGTAGTGAGCTGCAGCGTGAGCTGCTCATACTTTCCAGCAACCCTGGGCACCCATGCCTCTTCATAAGTGTGGAAGCTGGGGTTCCCTGCTCACCCAGACCTATCTCCTGTGATTGCAGAAGTGATACTGGCTCAGTGAGGAAAAGCTCTTTCCCTCTCAGGCAGACCTGCCTCTCCCTCCTCCCCCCCTTGCTCCCCATCTCCCCACCCCCCAATCATGGGGGAGTGGGTTTGACTGAGCAGGGAAAGAAGGGATATCACATCACCCTCTTTACCACACCACCTGGGACAGAATGAGTGGTGATGTGTTTTGCCCAATGAAGTGGATTGGTTGTGCCATGACAAATTGCAGCACAGGTGATCCACATCATTAGGTGACATCTATTTCTAGCCTGTCCCAGCTAAAGGATAAGACAAATGCTGTTTCATATCAAAGGATGGACTCTTGTATCACATAACCTCCAAATTACCATCTCCATTGACAAAGCAGAGTCTGCTCCCCCAAAATTTTGCTAGGATCAAAAGCTGTTTTTTCCTGACAAGATAGAGTGGGATTCTAGTTCCTGTAATCAAAGTACAGTTTGCAACCAGTTCTGAGTTACACCACAAAAATGTAGGAGAAGTCTATTACCCACGCTGAGGGGGTGGGGGTATCTACACATTCATGGATGTGGTTTACATAATGTGCATTAAATCTAGTACCTCCATTGTCAGGTACTAGAAAAATGCATATTAGCCTATTTTAATGTGTGTTAGCTAAAGAGCACAGTTTTTTGTGATGCTTTAATGTGCATTAAAATAGGTTAATTCTCATTAAAGTGCACATATAGATGTGCCCGGGTGTGTAAGTGCTCCCATTATAAGAATAAAGTGATATCTGCATGTTTCTGTAGGGCAATTTGATTGCTATAATGGGGGTGCTTACACACTGAGAGACAGTAATAGAATCGTTCCTACTTTTTAGTCAGGTAACTCTGAGTTTGTTGCAAGATGTACTTTGGCTGTCCACTAAGTGAGAGAAAATTCAACACAAGTGGGCACAAGTAATATTTAATATAAATGCTATGCTGTGCTATTGAGTGTCCTATATCTATATATGGGGTTGGACTAGATGACCTCCTGAAGTCCCTTCCAACCCTATCTTTCTATAATTCTATAATGCATAGCACTGTTGAAAATACTTAACAGTGATTACTGCATGAGTGCTCCAGTGGCATGGTATAATTAGCTGCATCCAAGGTCTAAAACAAGTCATTCATAAACTAAATATAGGTTTGGGCAGATTAAAATGGAGACAACCTTCAAGAAAACAGAATCTTTTTTAACCCTCTGACATCACTTCTAAACATGTGAATGTCACTTCTCACAACCAAAGGGTCCATTCAGCTCACTTGGCCCTGTGATTCTGTTTATGGAAGGGGAATGCTTCCATCAAGGTCTCATTGATTGTTCTTTCCTATCTTCAAGGCTAAGACTAATCTTAACATGTTTCTATTGGGCACTTCTATTTCTCCTTTTGGTTTCAGGGTTTCAGAAGATTTGAGAATTATAGTAGTGACTACAAAATAATGCATGACACTTTTCTTCCAAAGACAGCTCCAAATGCTATTTAAAGACAGGCAATTATTATTCTCCCCATTTTCCAAATGGGGAAACCAAGGCACAAAGAAGGTAAGTGTATTTCCAAAACGTTCAAGAGATTCAAGAGCAGAGCTGATAATGGAACACTTCTTGATGTCCAGTCTAAAAGTCTATTCAGTAGATTAGACCCTGTCTCTGGGATGGCCCATGTAACTCCATGGTAAGATGAGCTGCCTTACCTCATGCTGGTACATCATAATGACCCACCACCCCATGATGTTGTCTCTATGTGTAATAAATTCCAGCTCAGGAAAGCTGTAAGATGTGAGTAGCAATTTGGAAGAGCCCAATTCATACAGGACTAATTAATTTTATAGGAGGGCTTTGAGATCCCATTTTTCCTTTTTTACTCCCCAGTCTTCCCTCTCCCAGAGCTCTAGGCTTATCATTATTGCTTCCTGTAACTACCAGGGGCTAATGCTACAGAACTAAGGGAGATTACCCAAGAACTAAGGGAAATTACCCAACTAGACATAAAAAATGTCATGTTCTGGCCACTTACAACTTACCTTGTATAACAAATTGTATGAAGATGTAACTATTTCTTTGATCTTAGTTAAGGTCTTTTCTAAGCTGAGCTCTGTGTAGTTTGCAGGTGGTGCAGCCTGCTTTTGTCTCTGCTGGTATTTAGATGCTCTGCTATCATCAATGGCTCTCAGGAAATCAACATAAGAGAGCTTGCTGTCATGAATGCTGATTCCTAAGCTAAGGAGAAAAACAGAATCAGATACCATATTTTTAAAAGATGTTTGCCATTATTAACACTACTAATTAATTATAAGGATATATTATTTGCTTTCTGACAGTGTCCAGGAGTCCCAGTCAGGGTCCAGGACTCCATTATATTAAATACTGTGCAAACAAGAACAAAAAGATGGTTTGCACTTTGCCCTCTACAAAAGTCTTTTCGTCCCAGAATCTAAAAATGCTTTTGAAGAATTACTTGAGCTTCATAATACCCTATGAAGCTTCATTATCATTGTGTTAAAGACAAGGCAACAGAGAGAAAGAAAGACTGTTATGTTGGTTTTCAAAGGTGCTGAGTACTTGTGTTTCCTATTGCTTTTGGCAGGACTTTCCCCTGCTGTGCACATCCAAAAATCAAGCCTAAGAAAATCACATAGGCAGCCACTCCCAGGGATGGAACTCAGGAGTTCTGACTCCTGGTCTTCTGTTTTAGCCACTGGACAAACTATCTACTGTTTGTCACATGGTAGGAAAGCAAATGAAGTCTTCATGTACTGGTAGGGCATTTGAGGTCCATCTGACATAGGGTCACCATGGCACCTTTTACAGCTTCCTGACTGCACCACTGGCAATAATCAAGCAGAAGATGGGATGTTTTAACCTAAGCCACTTCTGTAAGGTGTCAGAGGCAAGTGAAGGTACAGTGTAGTAGAGGTCAGCCTAACTCTGCCTCTGACATATACCCTTTTTCCCTCAGCTTGCCCATTTGTCTGAAAGTTGGAGTGCCTTGCACAGGAACTTCCTACTAGTCAATGGAGAAATCCTTCCACAGCAGATAATTCTGTGTTTGGCTGGCTAGGGCCAGATTGTACTGGAGAACCTGGCCTGAACTTCCTGAAGTCTGCTCTCACATTTTTTAGTAGTATCTGGCACATCACAGGCATTGAAGAGAACTGCACATTGTCACAAAGGAAATTCAGTGGGTTACACACATGCTTATGCTTATGCTCCAGGTATAAACAGCAAATACATTTTTGCATCAAAAAGCAGTAGGGGGAAAGCATTCTTGCCTTGGGGTTTTGAGATGTTTTGCAGAGGACTTCATTACAAAACTGCATTCTTCCTATTACTTCAAGGATGTTTCACCATAAAAAGACTAGAATTAAGACAAGACTTACATTTGTAGATAGACTGTGTTATTTAGAATGAAACAGAGAAGATTTAGAAGGGGATAACTTAATTATTTAAAGAGCCTTTTTCCAGTGCTTCATGATAAAAAGCCATTAAATGAAACAATGTTTATTAGATTTACAACAAAGAAAAAGGAATAGTTCTGACTCGAAGGGTACAAGAATGTCTAATTTAATACAGAGGTCCAGGTAAGGGTCAGCTTGTGGAGTTCAGAACCACAAAGAAGTCACAATATAAAAGAGCAAATTTTTCTGTCACTTACCCCAGTACACGTCCAGTACAGTCTGTTCATAGAATTTGCTACTCTAGGAAATTAGTCAAAGTGGAAATCCATTGGCTTCCACTGGAGTCAGATTTACCCTGGGATAAATGAGGGTGGGATCTCACCCAAAGACTGTCTAAAGACAATTCTATGAGCAGTGAGTACATTTGTTGTGCTGCGATAAATCATGCTGTGATAAATCACTGAGCACTGCTACAGGTATTGTGGGGAAAGCAGGCCATGAAGCATCAAGGACTTACTAGTAGATGGCCCCATAGTCTGATATTCCCTGTGTAAAAGAGTAAATTACTGTAATGTAGCCTTGTCATCTGTTTTCATTGCAAATCACTGAGGACCGCTGCCTAAGTCACCAATCACCAGAGTATCCAGTTATAAGAATGTCTAATTAATACAGAGAGCCCGTTAAACAAAAAAGAAGCATTACGAAAACAAGCTGGAAAATAAATTACCCACAGACCCAATATCTGCTACTAAGAAAATACATTCAAGAGCCCTGATTTTGCATCTTGCAGCTGCACATCACTCCCACATATTGCTAGTGTCAAGCTGGCTATTGGAGGCACTGTGGAAATGGAAATAATCAACACCATTTCAGCAAAGAAATAAATTGCCAAGTTGGCATTAAAATTTTAGTAATAAAACCAAATACATATGCTAATCTACTCTGTATTATTTAGAGAAGTCTGTTTTGGATCTAGAAAGGAATAATCTGCACAAAATTACAACGAATGGAGGTGTTTATCATCAAGAGGTCTTTGAGAAAGAAACAAGCAGCAGATTCTTATTAGGGTGTCAATTCATAAAAAGTTGATCACTCAATTGCAGATGAACTGTGAAAAGAGTTTGTTATTTTTTTTAAAGTCTGGCCTGATGGTATATTGAGAACAAAACCCAATGACATTGAGGAATGTGTCTTGTTGGGTTTCCATAAGACAAAAAACTGGATATATTCACTAGTAAGTTCTTCATGCCTCTTACACCTTAAAAGAAGAGATTCCATTTCTTGATGTGTGTTGATGACATCCATATGCAAAACAGAATGTATATCTTGACATATTGGTAGAATTAAAAGAATTCTAGCAATTTTAATGTGACATAATCCTGTTATTATATTTTTGCAAGCCCTTTATTCAGTCTTGCTTTATTAAGTGAAAAAATACAAGATTAAAAAAGCATTGAAAAACTCACCATGTTAAGAAAGAAGCTATTCTCACCCCACTTATTCTCAGAACCAATACCTAGGTTGTGATGGCCAGAACCAAAAGGGTTAATGAGCAAGTTATAGCAAAAAAGAAATCTGCTTTTTGAGAGTATCTGATAAAGGCACATGATAAATATTGGCTAAAATAGAGCTTATGAAACTGCTTCCTGCAGACGCTTCTGACTTGTCTGGAGTATAACCGGTAATGTTATATATAACTGTTTGTATCAATCTTGAGACTGGATAAGTTTTAAAAAGCAGAACTAAAAAAATGAAACTGAAGACTTAGCTGATTTAATAAATTTTTGATTAAAGGTCAGTAAGATTAACAAACCTAACCACAAGGTATAATTAACACATCTTAAAAAAAAATTAAGTAGGATGGACTTGGGCAGGAAAATGCTGATTTCAAACCCCAAAGTGATGTGGTATGATTTACTTATTGGGTAAACCCAAGCTTGGGCAGTAATCTATTATAATGATTTCTAACACCTTTTAACCCCAGAGGGTAACAGCTATAGAGTAAGATTGTGAGTGGCTCTAAAGCCAACAGATTAGCATAGAACAGGATATAAAAGAACACGCACGTTAAGTGACCAGCAGGTAGGATGGAACAGAACAGTCATTGCTGTCCCATGCCCCTGGATCCCTTACTCCCAGTGTGAGCGAGGACCAAATCCTGACTGAGGGACCTTCCCTGGTATTTCCTCTGACAGCATGGGATGTCTGATTTCACTGAATCAACTTGAAGTCAGGGATGCCTGACTTCACTGAATCAACTTGACGTGTACCTGACACTGAGGGACTATCAATTAGTTGCTAACCAAGTGGGAACTCTTTGTTGATTTGTCTGTCTGTTTTTATTATCACTGCCAATTTTTAACTGTTTATTAGCTTAACCTTTTTACTAACAGTTATACGTGGAAACTATATTTTTTGCTGTTATAAGTAAAATTCATTTTTACTGTTATAAGTGAAACTTGTCATTGCTTCACTCCCATCTCCACCTCCTTGATCCCGAACCACACAGCTCAGTGGCTGATACAGTTGCAGCACTCAGTCAGCCTGCAACTAAATTGATACACTCACAGTGCCCAGCTGGCCTGTGACACTAGGTCTAGCAAAATACGTAAACACAGGTAATCTTAAGCAGGCAGGTACTTGACTCTGTCAGGACATGTTAAATGAAAGACATGCTTAAGTATGCTGCTGAACTGGGGCCAAAGAGGATGAATGAAAACTGCATAGAAGGCAGTGGAACTAATCTTTATTGAGAGAATAGTTTAATTCCTGCAGTATCCTGCACAGGTTATCTATTGTTATGTATCCATCTCTATTTTTATCCATCTTGTAAAAGGCCTTGTTGAAGTTTTGGAAGTAATCCCTAAATTTGTCCCTGAAAGGAAGTAGATGTTTATTTTAGCTCTTGGGCTAAACATTAAAAACAGGATACAAACAAATATACAGAAAGAGACATAACAAGAATTCCTGTTTGCTTGTATTTAAGTCCATCTTTTTTGTGCAAAGAATGATGTATTAATTATTTGGAGGCTGAATTTTCCCAGGCAGTTTTCAAATTTGCACAAGTCATTTCATAAATGAATCTCCCACCTATATGGGAACAAATGAAAATCTATTACTTAATGTGTGGTTGTCTACTAGGGGTGTGCGAAGCGAGCTGTTTTCGATTCATATTTGGATTCAGCCCAATTTGGGGGACAATGATTCGATTCACTGATTTGGATGAATCTGAAGATTTGATTCTGATTTGGAGAATCAGTGATTTGGCCATAGACACAGCTTTATATGATTTTTAAACATATCTCAAGATACCAGGTGCAGCTTATGAATGCTGAGGTGGTGGGGCGGATGGAGCATCCTACAGGAGCAAGGGGGGGCCCCTCTGCATGCTTGGTGGCAGACCTGGAAGTGGACCGGAAGTGCTTCTGGTCCACTTCTGGGTCCACTGCTGAGCGCGCTGGAAACCTCCCAGCGCTCCTGTGGGACGCTCCATCTGCCCCACTATCTCAGTGTTCACGAGCCACCTCATTCCTTGAAGTATGTAGAAAAAACATAAAGCCGTGTCTGTGTCTGAATCATTGACTGTCTCCGAATCTCTCTGAATCAAATCGGAGGCTTCCAATTTGATTCAGAGAGATTAATGGATCTCCTGATTCAATTCGGATTCAGAGATTTGGCCACTGAATCAGGCCAGATCTCCGCCAAATTGAATCAGTGACCCAAGTTTCGCACAGCCCTATTGTCTACTTGCTTTGCCTATTCAAAATTACAGAGACAATATCTAAAGCTCTGTAAAAGATGCAGAATACAGTTGATCTGATGATAGACACTGGTAACTCACTTCCTACAGTTTTGACAGTTTTACTGCTTTAAGCAGAATTCTTATAACAGAGCAAAAAATTACGGTACTCTAAAGAAGTGACCCAAACCCAGTTGAAGTCCAGGAAAGCCTCCCACTGATTTCATTGAGCTTTGGTGAGCCCATTAGAACTAAGCTTGAGGACTCCAAGTATTACTCCTATCTCCCCCTCTATTCCTAATTTATCATCATCTGGTTCATAAGTTGGACCAGAAACTGGAAGATGCTGCTCTACAACCAATCACTGTAGCTCTTCAACTGGCTCAGAGAATCATTAAAGATAAATGCAAGGTTTTTAAAGGAACTGAGAACTGTGACAGGATGTAGTAGAGTATGGAACATGGATAAGACACATATTGCCAGACCAATTTGCTCCCACATGAGGGCACTGATGGATGGCACAAAGAGCCTTTTCCTTCATTTCTGTCCATATAAAGGGCCAACCACAGTATAGTTTATCTGCTGAGGTGAACACAGGGATTACTCTCTATCTGCATTTCCACAGCCACAGAGTACTCAAAATGGAAGAGGTGAGGCCATAGTGTACTCCTCCTTTCTGGCTCACAAAACAAGGCTGGTACAGGGAGACAGCCTGTTTATCCCAAGAGTTCTGTACCCATGAGGGCAACAACACATGGAGCAGTAGCACAGTAGGTGGGGGAGCAGTAACAGGGGCTGCTATGTTTGTACCCCCTCTAAACTCATGAATGTGACTGGTGACTCATGAATGGTGCCCCAGTTGCCTTCTCTTCGTTACACTACTGACATCAACACAGAGCTTAATGAAAATACTCCCCAATCAGGCAACACAGCACCATACTGCCTAAAATAGAAGTGCTTTAAAGCTACTATATAGCCCTGACAGCAGCTAGATTTTGGAATCCTTTACAGGTGTATGTTAATTTTAATCTTATGCTGCTATACGATAGTTCTTCATCATCATTTATTATCTTCCACTTAAACCTTCAAATTGAAAGTAAAGGAAGATGTAAAATCAAAACAGTTTTTGAGATTCATATTTTTAGAAAATTAAGGCATTCAGCGTTTCTTGGACTGAGTAGTGGTTTCCAAGTGGTAATTATTCCACTTGCAGCAGTAAATATGTGTACTGAGTAAATGAGGCTTTAAACTATGGATCAAGATATGCTGCCAAAAATTAATCTTTTGCTGCAAATGTTTTGTTATTTCTCTTGAAGAGCCAGAGAGCCACTGTTCAATGTCTGTTTCTAATTTGGGTTATTTGTTTCTGCAAGTTAAAACCAAAAAAATTATACATCCAGCCTTATCTTTTGAATTTTAAGAAGTTCAGAGTCCTTGACAGTTTTCCTGTGTATACTCACAGGGCACTGAAACAGCTATAAAGCATATAGGGTAAAATTCATAGTACTTGCACACAACAGAGTAAATGGGCTGAGCTACCCTGTGCTAAACTTGGACAGATGGGAGGAATACATTTCCAAACCCACAGGTGAAAGAGGGACCATGATCTATGGATACCATTACTGGGATTTCGTAGCCCTAGATGCATTCAATCCTGTAGCCTCTGGCTCTGATTCCCCCATTTCTCTGTCTCCTCAGGCTACATGGTGAATGTGCATGGTGCCCTGTTCTGCTGTTCTGGGCCTTTACTTCACAGCTGCCTCCTATCCTCATGAAATGGAACATTAGTGTTCCTTCTGGATCATTGTCTTTCAGTTCAGTACAGCTGGATTTCATTATTAGAGCAATGACTCCAACCTCTGGCTCAAGAGCCACTTGCAGTTTTGCAAAGCTCTGCCTGAAATATGCGGTCCAGAGGTCTGAATTCAACTCCTCTTGCACCGTTTTCTTTGAGAAGTGAAAACTGGATATGAACAACTAAGGGGTGTGCAAAGCAAACAGTCAACAGCTGGGAGCACAAGGTCCCACCCAGTAGACAGGAAGTGGGCATAGTGGGTGAAAGAGAGAAAAGAAAATTATTTTTTGCTCCATGAGTTATTAAGCTCTGGAATCCATTTCCACAGGTTGCTGAGGCCAAGAGCTTGACAGATCCAAAAGCAATGGCTATTATGTGGTTATCAGGAATAAAAAGAGTTCTGATTGATTACAACAAACCTTCTGGGAGGCATATTAAATGTCACCCTTCAGAGTTAAGTACTGGAGATCAAGATGAAACCTCTTGAGGTGGGGACAAGGGGGTAGATTATCCCATATCTGAGTACTATGGGGTTCTTCCTCTATCCTCTTTAGTTTCCTTTGCTACTGAGCTCTGCTAGAAACAGGATTCTGGACTTGATGGACTTCGAGTCTGATCCAGGATGGTAATATCTGCATTCCTGTCGGAAGGTGACAAAGCCATCACAGTGCACTGGATGTTTCTGCTACAATACTATGTTAAACCATTCAGAATGATCCAAACATCAGCAAACACTTCAGACTATTGCAGCACAATTATTTGTGCCTTACTGTGAGTTCATACAGTTATGAGGTGGCTGTCCAGCTGTTCCAGATTTGACTATTCACACTTTTGACTCAAACTCTCCAATTTGCAGAGTAAGCCATTTCATGAGTAGTAGTATTATCTATTATTTGTACTGAAGTAGCACACAGAGTCCAGGGCTATTTTGCACTTGGCATTGTACAAACATGCAACAAAGGAAAGGTTCCTACCAAAAGACTTATCAGGGTGTAAACACATGACACATTTACTACAGAGTAAATTGTCTTTACCCTGCAGTAGAAATGGAACAGATCCACGATGCCTTACATCACAACAAGTCTCTTTTTTGTAGGATTCAATTACCTCTTGAAAAATACTGGTGTAACTTTAGCCCAAGGCTAAAGATGAAGTTAATGTTACAGATCTGCTCCCTTACTCAAGTTTACCCTGGGGTATCTGTTTACCCAATGCAAACAGACTCTCCTACCACCTCGCAAGCTAATATAACAGTCAGCCCCACTTGGAGATATAGCTTGGGGTAGCTGGCTATATCCACTCCTTTCTATTGAGTAGATTTACTAAGAAGAAAAAAAAATCCATGGTAGATAACTCCCTAGTAACCAAGTTGTACCTATGCCTCCAGTCTGAGCCTGAGAGAGACTGAGTACAAGACAGATGCAGCTGGCTGAATCCTTGCCTAGTAAAAATCAATAGTGCGATAAGCAGCATTTGCAGTACTCCAGCTGCTAAACCACCCCATGACATAGGATGTAGTCTTTTCATATGTAAAACTTCCACTGACACCACTGGGATTTTCATGCATGGAATGAATGCAAAATCTACAAGAAGAGAGCTATAAGGCAGGAAGGCAGGCAGGCACTCTGCAGTACAGAACAGAAGCCAGTTTTGCCTTTAATTTTTAAACACTTGAGTAGGACAGATTAAACTAATATCATAAATAAAAACAGCAGGTAAAAATAACTCAGCTTGCATGTTTCTTTGTTACTTTCTGAGCCTTTCACTTTCCCCTTTGGCTGGAAGACATCTTGGCCATTCTTGATCTATGTTATTGCTGGTGCATCACTTTTTATTGATGATGTGAGCAAGAATTATTATTATTAATGCTTTTCTAGACTCCACAACAAGCTAGGTATTTTCCAACATAAGAAAAGGATGGTCTCTTTTCATATGGATGTATACTAGAAAACCACAACCCACTGCACAATAGGTGGAGGGTAAGGGGAACAACAAATAGACCAGACAGGCAGAGCATAACAACAGGTCAGAACCTGAAGATATGAAATTTTAGTGACACAGTAGCATGGCACAAGGCTCTCCTGCTACCCATTCTATTAAAGGTGATAGAATCCTATCAGGGGCTATGGCTAATTATTGTTGATTCATGAGGGAAAGCACAGATCATTAGGCTCCTCTTTGACTAAAAGGAAGGTGGGAGTGAACAGTCACACTGAAGAAGAGAGACCAAAGAAGAAGTCAAACCAGAGAACAGAGGAGAGGCAAGTGGGATATGCATGAAGCATTATCTTGGTATTGTCTTTCGGTTTGTCATGTAGGCCTCCCAGGAGGGGTGACCTCAGAGGGTATAGATGTCATTTGCAGCTGAGTGGACCCTCTGCTAGCTTAAAGGCAAGATGTTTTTCTTTTACCTATCCCTTGTATGGAGGTTTTATGTTGCAGCAGTGAAAATGTAGGCATAATTTCATTTTAATTAATTGCTGAAGGATTTCCAGAACCACAATAACTTTCATACAATGGCCATAGTAGGAGGAAATGGTGTGTGATTAATGTCTTCATAATGCAGGAATTCCAGCTGCCTGCTAAATCCTGCTAGTCAGAAACAGCTGAGTGTAAGTTAAAGCAACCCATGGGCTACCCTAATTTCTTCTAGGAAAGGCCTGGAAATGAGCAGGCAAAGTATCAGAGAACCCAAGTGGTGGAAAAGCTGCAGTATGTGCTGAACAGCTCTGACTGGGATCATAAATGATTGGGATCATACAGTCTACAGAACAAATAATACACAGTCATGCAGAATATTTTAAAATTGCCTTACACAATTCAGAGCCAAGTTAATCCCCAGTGACATCAGTGGAGTCACATGACATGGAAGTTTGTCCCAGTATCTTGCAGGATTCATCTTCAGTAATGCAACAAAAATGCATATATATTTCTGACACTGCCATTTTTCCATAGATGTCCTCAGCATAGCCTTAGTCTCTAGATAACTCACTTGATCTGCTTTTTAATTGCACTGATGGTAAGGGCTTGAGTTTGCTGTTTCTGCTGTTCTTCCATCTTTGAATGCTTCTTCTGTTGATTACTGAGGTGTGCCTTGAAGGTTTCACAGTTGTCTTCTGCTATCTGGCTACTTAGCCCAGTGTCAGCAGGTGTGAACTCTGCCCCCATCTTCTGTAAAAATTCTTGGCAAGTAAGGTAGCCTTCTGAATGTGTCATACCTTTAAGAGAAATATTCTTTTCAAATGAAATATTCAGATATTCATCACAGGAAGACATTACAGTTAATGTTTGAATTGTAGCGAAGTGACTTAGCAGCTTCAGTTTCATTGACTTTCCTTCCTTATAGATGCTAAGAGTGAGAGTGGGACTTTAGTGCTTACCAAACACAAGACTTATATTCCTTTCATATCCAGGAACCATCCTGGCTAAAACAAGCAACATATCCACACAGGTGCTTTTGAAAGCTTTTACTTGAGGGCCCATTATGGGCAGACCCAGGATCGGGGCAAGGAGGACCCTGACACCTTCTGCTCAAGCTCCACATGTGGGATGAGCATTCTGAGTGCAACAGCTGATTCATGACAGCTCTGGTTGGAGCCCTGATTTCACATGGTTCTGGTGCCCAGGTGGTGATGAGCACCGCCACCGTTTGACCTCCCTTCCTTCCCCCCTCACTCTCTCTGAATTCAGCAACAGGAAAAAAAGAGGAGATGAGCAGCAGCACTAATTCTGTGGACTCCAGAGCTACATGAAACCAGGAGCTGTGGTCAGAGTCTGTGCCCATCACCTGGAGAGCTCAGAGACCTTGAAGCACATGCAAAGTTCTGCTGACATGCCAGGGAGCTCAGAGAGCTCACTGTGCATGTATCACACAGCAAATGGAGTGTGACTGTTGTTGCACACTCTGGTCCACCCCACACCCCCACTACTCCTGCCTGCCCCCACCCCAATTATGCCTGGATCAATCTGTCAGAAGTTTTCTCTTAACTTTTTCTCTAGGTATGAGACCAGGAATTTGGCTTTTGATTTCAATAGGAGTGGCAGCACATCCAAAAATCAGACTTTAAATGTTTTAAGCTAGGATATCAAGTTAGAAAGCTCAAAATTAGAGCCACTCCTGAAAATCTGGGGATAACTGCTTGTGCCAGTGCTTTCTTGGATACAGACCTTGCTAGAGAGATGTCCCCTGCAAGCTCTCCTCACCCTAATGTAACCTTGTAGGGAAAGGTTTAATTTGCCCTTATCTGTCACCTCAGTTCCTTTATTCTGCTTACATACGCCTAATACGAATAAAAGCAGTGGTGTAACTAGCAAGTTTTGTGCTCTGGGCAGAACCCTACTAGAGAATGGGAGTGAGGGTGCTGAACACTGAAGAGACCAGGGGTCTCTTACCTGCCCAGGAACTAAAAGTCCCCAGATGCTGCTGCAGCAACATAGTCTGCTTGCCCCTTTGTTACTTGATACAGCAGTAGCACAATGTCCCCACACTTGGTAACTGCTGCTGCTGCCATGGGCAGACTCAGCAGAGGGCTATTCTGGCACTCCCTCTAAGTGGGTTCCTCATTCGCCCACCCTTGTTACACTATTGAATAAGGGATTTCATGTGCCCTATGAAAGATGGCTGCTGAGAATGAAATTGCATTGCAGATTACTGACTGGAAAGGACTTGCTCCTGAGTGCGACATGGCGTCTATGAGGAATAAGAATGGAAAATAAAATGTTAGAGATTGATCAGTGCTAGGAAATAAATGTTATAGGTAATGCAGCTTGAAACCAAGACACTATACACATGAACCTTACACTGCACAGAACCTAGTATTTTTTTAAAAGACTAAAAAATAAAGGTTGACTTTATTTAACGGCACATGTAGCTGACCTTCTTTGCCCATTTCAGACTCAATTTATAGCAAAACTACTCTCAGCTTTGATGTAGAGCTAGTATTTTTTTTCCTTTCACAGCAAATTACTTGTCTGTAAAAACATTTCCCAGTATTACTTGCAATTTTTACTCAGCATGGAACTACATTACTTTCCTTCAGTATGTATTTGGTATGTATCATATTTCTTTCCACCAAATCATTTTTCGTGAGGCTGAAAATGGTGTAAGTAAATTTAGTGCTCATGAAAAGGAGTGGCTCATAGGACTGATTCCTGTCAGACTTGTACAGCAGACAGCTCTGGGCTAGCTTCTTTCAAAGACCTCTGCCCACATATGTCCATCATGAGAAATAACATGCTATTCTTGTTCTGAGTCTCTTTGCAACTCTTTGTATATGTGTGTACAAATAAGGCCCTACATGACAACCAGATTAATTTCACTGGTGACCTAAGATACTATCAGAATTGGAAACTACATTAAAGAGAGCAGTACAATTAAAATAAATACAAGTTTGTCACTGGCTTCAGAGAAAACTTATTAAGGATTTAATGATGAACTTGTTGTAATGATGAATTTATTGTGAAAAAATGCAGTAATTCAGAGCACAATATAAAGGGGAGTTGCTACTGACATAACAGAATAGCCTCGCTTTATAAAGCAAGTGCTTGTAATTCACTGAACTACCAGAGACTCTAGAATTAGGATTAATATATCGGTGATGCTAGTGCCGAAGAGTGAATGCTGACAGCCATCTTACCTTGTCCAAAGCTTCTCAAATTCTGTTGAGGTGATTGGAATGGCAAATCTGTACAAGACATTTCTTAAATCCTTTGGCTTCACAATGCCACTTCCTTCTCTGTCAAATTCATGGAAGTTCTAGAAAATAAGAAAATTTCAATAACAAGAGCCAGCAAATTTTACAAAATCTTTAATCTCTGTCTAAGCATAAGTAATTAGAAGCATTAGGAAAAAATGAGAAGCCGTACATGGCTGAACTACATTTTTAATGTTTTTGTTTGAGGTTTTGGGCCTGATTTTTCAGCCTTCACTGTGTATGTGTAACTTTATATATGTCTGTTGGTGGACTTACACAGGAGTGTGTATGCATGTGTGAGTGCTGGTAAAAAAAGTTTGTGTGTGTGTGAGTGCTGGCAAGCAACATGTACCATATGTTCTTGCATATAACACGCTCCAAAATATAACACACTCCCTGTTCTGGAAAGCTGGAAAAAAGAAGAAAAAAATATTTTTTCCTTGAAAATACCAGTAAGTAATTTAATACAGCAAATTATAAAATGTAAAAACCTTTATACAGAACAAGGTATAAAATGGAAAAAACTACACGTGGACTTTGCATGTACCTCACATCTTTCATTGCAATATTGTGGCATGTCTCTACAACAGAGGTTAGCCTACTGTAGCCAGCAGTGAAACATAGGCTGCAGGGTGGTGAGGAATCCTGTCACTGCTTCAATAACCTTCTAGCTGCTGCTACTCAGCCACAGCCAGCAACATGCTCTGCCTGACAGCAGCAGGAGCAATTCTTTTAAATAAAAGTGCAGGGTTGGGATTTGGGGCAAATGAGAGGTGAAACAACCTCTTTTGGTGCCCTGAGCAGAGCACAAAAAAGGAAGGCAAGGGGAACATAGTATCATGTGACCACTGGAGGGGATGGGGTGTACAGTCTTACCTGCTTCAGTCAGGGCTCCTGTTCTCTGACTCGGACTGCTGAGAACAAGTGGCAGCCAGCCAGGGACAGACAGCCTACTCTCTGACTTGGGGCTGCTTTGAATTATGTGCAACTCTGCCTGGGGACAGATTCCCTGTAGTAGCCCTATGGTGCAGGCTCCCCAGGGGATGCCCAGGATTGATGCCCTGCTCTCCTTTCCGTGCCTTCGCTGGAACCTAAATGGCATAATCGTATTTCCTTGCATATAGTGTGTATGCAGATTTTGAGCTGCTTGCTTTGGGGAAAACAAGTGTGGGTTATATGCAAGAACACACAGGTATATGGCATTTGTGCATAGGGGATCTGAGTGATAAAAAGTGTGCAGTCAAGAGGGGACATGCACAAATTATGGTACTTGTAAATGGAAGCTACAAACTGAAAAACTACTTTTAGATACTTTATTCAGCAGATGTTGACCCCGTCCTAATATGAAGAAAGCTATCCAATGTATGATTTCATTTACAGGATAAACTGTTCACTATCCCCATCAAATTTTTTCTTCACCAGTTTTCTTCCTATGTTGTCCTCCAGTGCCCTCATAGTTTGCAGTGTTTTACTAGTTAAGGGAGATACAATTTAAAAATACTTCATTCATATTAGGATTATTTATCAAATTATTTTCATATTAATTATTTGCATACTGGTGTGGCCTAGACAGCCAAACAAAGTGCCATGCACAAGGGCAGTACTTGGCATGTGTATAGGCAAATCCTAACAAAATGCATCCCTGATTGGAGCCTTGATGTTTTGTTGCAGTGCAATACAAATAGCAAACAACCATTCTGATAATGTAGAGAAATTTTAGAAACATTTCCAGTAGAAGTTACTAAATCATTAACCATTTAAACATCAAATGCTCCCCCAACCACTTCTCTGCATAGAAGAAAGTTTCTATTATAAATCAGCTATTTTGCAAATTTTTGAATAAATGTAGAGTCTGAAGATCAACTGTGAATAATGTCTCAAAATCCATTAATGCAGCTAATTTAGTTAAAGAAAACATTCTTCTTACCCTTGCTAGGTCATGCCATCTGGTTTGTGGTTTGATAACAAGGTAGTAATGAGCCTGATCACAAGCTAGTTCTGCATCCATTCTCATCTGTTTTGGTCTCAGAAAGGAAAAAAATAATAATAGCTAACTGTGTTTTTACATTTAATGGGTTCTTTAATCTCCCAGAAGTTTTCTTTCCTTTTGTTGTTGTTGTTGGTTTTGTTTCTAAGATCCCCTTAAAGACTTACTTCACATCTGTGTAAAGTTAATTCTTTAAATACTGCCTTATTTCCCCAGCTGCAAGTTACAGAAGACTTCTTAAATTTGTAATTCCCTATTTATTTTCATATCACTGTTGTTCAATTTGCCTGCAGACATATGAACAAACACAGATCATTTATCCAGATAGAAGGAAGTGTTAACTATCTCCAAAGCATAAACAATTTAGTAACATATTACAAGATGTGGACTGGTTTCACATTAACTCTTGATTTACATTAACAATTTGGATTGGAAACTGGCCTAATAAATGAATAAATAAAGTCCATTGCTTTAGAGATTAAAGCCAAAAGCCCAAAATGGACTTGGGCATTATGATGCTGAGCACTGCAACACCTAAGTGTTAGACACCTGGTCCCTGTAGCAGAATCCATAGCCATGAGTTATGTGCTCCATAATGAGTGAGAAAAGAAGCAGCAGACTGAGTGGAAAGCTGACTAAAGTCAGCACATTGAACATGGAGTTACCTCAATTAGCCAACAAAAAGATGCTCATAACAGGGACATGTCTGAGATCCCACCACTCTCTGGGGCTCAGGTACCCTCCCCTGTGGCCTCAACAGCTGCCTTCAGGTGCCTCAACCCTACCATTCAAAGACCAAGGAAGTCTTAGTCATTTCTTTCAATACAGCCTTCCTATGGCAGTTCCTTCTTTCATTGTGCTTTAAAAGAAATTGGTGGCTGCAGCAACATTTTGTGCAGAATTTTACAAGGGCAGGAATACCAAAGTGAATCCCTGAACTGACAAAGCTAGAGAAGCACCTAGTCTGTGGATCCTGGCTGAGATGTGCTGCCTTGTCAAGACTGAAGAGCTTCTGGGCATGTTTAGAGGCAGAACCATTGGCATCTGGGAAATATTAATGTGAAAGACTAGGGCACCTTTGAACTTCAGGCTCCTTTAGGATTAAGAACCACTTCAGTAGGGTTTTCAGGAGTACATTTTTGGCCATGGTTGCATAAATCTCATATAAATCCCACCTGAGGTGCCTGAAAACCTATTGATCTGCACAACTCCTTAGTCTAGTCTTACCTATAAAGGTAAGTTAGCTAAAATGTTTCCAGAGTGTTTTCAACTCTTCTTCAATAAGGTTTTTCAAACTGCTCCATTCTTCATTTGTGACATTCTGAAATAGTAATATCATATATGATACCCATATTTAAAATGGGAGATTCTTTGAACTAAGGACTCAACCCATTCCACTGCTGAGATGAAATGAGAATGAAACACTAACTGGTCATGACCCTTACTGTCACCGCTTCCCAAAATATATCACTAGAATCCCTTTCCCTTGTTTCAGAATAGTGTCCTTGATTTACACTGTTGTACAAACAATAAAAAACAAACCTAGGAAGATAAATCTTACTAAGACCAGCGCCAACAGTAACACTGTAGTAGACAAATAAAAACTGGGAAATAAGCCTATGTGTATATCACATCTTTTAAATCCACAGCAGAATTGAGATACTGATCAGGAGCTTTTTTTGTTCTGTTCTATCTTGTCATTATTCCTATTGTTAATTTATTTCTGTTTGCACAGTTAAACAAAGGGCAGATTCTTTTCTCATTGAGTTCTTAGGTGAATCTTAAGTGTCTAAATGCTATTTATTATTAAAAAGAAAATCACAGTCTTAAAATTCCAAGTCACTGAGTCGCCTGGTATTGCTTTTCAAAGCAGGAGAGGAAAAGCCGTCTTCCTGCAGTGACAGTGGCTCCTCTATTCTCGTATCAATCTTCAGCACAAGCACCTTCATTCTCATTTGAGATGCCCCTACTGATCTAGCCCTTTCTTAATGCTTTGGCAGCACAAAGGAATGGCACATGAGGATGTTCTGCAAGTGGTGGAGGACCTGGCAGAGGGCATGATCAGTGTTCTTTACTCAAATCATTACAAGCTTCCAATAAGTCCCATAAAGGCACCACTATACACCATATAAAGTAAGAATAGCTCAGATAAATAACTGGGACCACACTGGTCCAGCACAGAATTTGAGGGCTAAATTTTCTCTTCTGTGCTGTTCAGAAGACACAGCTAAGTATGTTGCCCTTGTCCTTTAAGGCAACTGGCTTCTAAGGCCCTGATTCAGCAAGGTGCTTACATATATGCTTAACCTTAAAGTAGTTAAAGATGTGATATTCTCAAGGAGAACTTGCATACTTAAAGGATGTGCTTTTGTACATGGCTGAATTGGGACTGAATCACAAAGGATTTTTTGGAACTTAAACAACTACAGTTTTGCAGGAACACATTAAAGCATATTACATTTTTACAAATCTACATGTATAAGACTAAAATAGGCAGTATAACATTGCTCCTTTTCTTACCTGTAAGATGCATTCAGCCAAGGGTGGGCCTCTTTAGTCTCTTGGGTTTGAAACAGTTGAAGGAATTCCTGGTAATTTAATGTAGACCTTGGGTTCATGCCCAACATACTAAGCAGGTGTGAATACTCCTGCTCTGAGAGACTGAATAAGAGGCTCTCCAGGAGGCATTGAAAATCAAGCATGTTGATGACACCATCGTGGTTACTGTCTGCTTTACGGAAGGCAGAGTAGAGGTTCTAAATGGGAGCCTTTAATTGAATGTGAGTGCTTGAACTTTTTAGGTAAAACACTTTAGTATCACATTTCAAACTGCAAGGGTGTTTCAGAAACGAATAGGAAAATGCTCTGTGTACATTCCTCTTTCTCTCTCTCTCTTTTAGTTCTGTCATGGAGGATACTTTTTAGGGAAGGGCTTACAGTCTCCCTGTCCCTATTATCTTTTCCTGACTCTATGGCTCACCAGTAATCTTCTGGTGATTGCACTCTCTGGGTCTGCTCTGAGCCCAGTGTCATAAGTTCATACCTGACACTCCATGCCTCTGCACAGACTGCAGCGACCTTTGCAAGTTGCTCCTCTGTCCCCTTTTCAGGGAAACTAACCTTACTGCCAGTCATTTTTTAGACTTTTCTGGCTCCCACCAGCCTCTGGTTAACCCCCATTTTTCCTTTCCAGGTGTCAGGGATTACCATCAAAGGAGACATTGTCTGATGATGTCATCTCTCCACACGGTGTTCCAGGAGCTTCTAACAGGTAAGTATTTCATATTCTCTTCATAACAGGGATTGGTGTCAGTCTCCCTGTTACAAGAAGCATTGAGCGCAAGACATGGGAGGTGATGATAGTGCCTTTCTACTGGGCACTATTTGGGCCTCATCTGGAGTACTGTGTGTAGTTCTGGGTTCCAAGTTTTAAAAAGTATGTGGAGAAGTTTTACACGGCAGTGGGCAACAAAGATGATAAAGGGCTTGGAAAGCAAGTCATACGAAGAGAGGTTGAAGGAGTTAGGCATGTTCATCTTGCAGAAAAGGCACTTAAGAGTGGGGCATGAGAGCAGTCTTCAAATACTTGAAGGGTTGTCATAAAGACAAGGTGTCGCAGTGCACTCAGGTGCCCTGCGCCTGAGAGCGGGGACTGCTCTGGGGAGACCCCTAGTGGCAGAAAGGGGGAGGCTCAGCTGCCAGTCACCAGGGCTGCACAGGTGCTGGTTGCCGGGACAACTGGTAAAACCAGCTGACCAGGAAGGGGCAGGGCTTATCCCTTCTTAAGCCCAGGTAGGAGGCCAGGAAGGCAGTCCCGCTCCAGCAGCCTTGGGTGTAGGGACTCAGCCCAGACAGACAGAGGGGAGGACTCTGGCCATGAGAGCATCCCCGGGTCACTGCTGAGGTTGGTGGAGCCCTTCTTCCCCCACTCCCTCCCTCTCTAGTAGGGAGTAGATTTTTATTCGACCGGACAGTCTAGTTTTTATGTTGTAGCCCAGGGGCTTTATGTTTTATGGTTACTGTTTTGGCTGGAGGACCCGGTGAGGCTAATAGGGTTTGGAGGAGGCCTCAGTGGGGCTCCACAGGGGTGGGGACCCCGGTGCCAGTGAGGGCACCGCATTTAGGGGTGCACTACCCCAGCCCTGAGAAGGGGCACAGAGGATTTAGGAACCAGGCCCGGCTAAGGCCACCTGAGTCCCAATTGCAAGGAGCACCAGTGTGGGCACCAGCGAGAAGCCCGGAGGGTGCTCGTGTTACGCCCCAGGGTGGGCACACATGAATATGCTATAAAGACGAGCCCCAGGGGAGGGCAATCCTATAGAGGCGGGTGTACAGAGAGAGGCCCCGAAGGGGCGAGCATGCAGAGAAAAGCCCCGAGAGTGCAAGTGAGCAGAGGGGTGCCAGTGAGGGGCGCCAGTTGCATGACAAGCCCGGGGCACCAGTGAAGGGTGCCGGTTGCGTGACAAGCCGGGGGTGCCAGTGAGGGGCACCAGTTGCGTGACAAGCCCAGGGGCACCAATCAGGGCGCAGAAAGGAAACTGACCAGACCACTTCAACTCCATCTGCGAGGCTTGGGCTGCGGTGTAGGGGAGGAAAAGGAGCCGCAAGTAGCGCCCCCTGTCATCGGGGCGCGGAAAAATGGGCAGCTTCCCGCTGATTACAACCATCTTCTAATCAAATAAGATCAAGGCGTGGCAGGAGAGTAAGCAGGCGGTTGGCCCATTACAGGAGGGCAGAGCCACTCCCAGAAAGGCTCCAATATTGATACTCCTGTCACAATGGTGCATTGGCTGGGAAACTTTTACACGGTGGTATGCACCATAAGACGTTGGTTTACCCGAGTAAAGAAGAGAGCCCTTGGGCCCATACAGAAAAAGGAACAGCCTGTGGACCAGTTATATCAAAAGATGCAAGGACTGCTGGACAAACCCATGTGACAACAGACTCAGTTGGCCACCATGGTCGAGAACACCCCACTCCGACCGACAATACAGGTAGGACTGTGTGGCTACGGAGCCTGAATTGACCCCGGGGCGGGAAAGGTGCCACCCCCATTGCTGACAGAAGCAATGATAGAGGGCAAAAGCGTAGTGGCGATGCTGGACTCGGGCTCAGTGCAGACCATGGTGCAGAGTGACATGCTACCAGCAGGGGAGAAGGGGAGAGTGGATCGTACAAGGGTGTGGTGTTGGTGCAGGGACCCCCTTGACTGTGACAGAGTAAAGGTTGACCTGCGGGTAGGCAACAAGACCTGCCAGATGTTAGTGGGGGTCACAGAACACCTACCCTACCCAGTAGTATTGGGCGGCGACTGGCCTGAGTTGCTGGAAGAGATAGCTGGTGGGAGGGGTGCAAAGACCGTGGAGGGTTTTGTGGGGGAACCAAACAGCCCCCCTCCGAAGAGGAAGTAGGACAAAGGATCGACGTCGCCCGTTTGGGGGAAGATGAACACTTTCAGCTCGAGCAAAGCCGAGAGACCGACTTTTGAGCAGCGCTGCAGGAACACGTAGCCTGAAGAGACAACGAAGTTCTGAGGCCGGAACTGATGAGGACTACCCCGAGGTTCGAAGTAAGAAATGGCCTCCTCTACCAGATTGAGCAAAAGAAGTCAGAAGGAGGGGAGGTCGTGCAGCTGCTGATCCCGAGGCGGTATCGACGGGCCTTATTAAAGGTGGCCCATGAGCTCCCCATGGGTGGGCACCTAGGCTGGGACAAAACAGAAGCACGCATTCAGGCAAGGTTCTATTGGCCAGGCCTGGTGTGGGAAGTCGTGAGTTTCTGCGCTTCGTGTCCCGCCTGCCAAAAGGTAAACCCAAGACTGCCCCCAAGGGCCCCTTTAATCCCAATGCCGCTGATAGAGGTTCCTTTCGAGAGGGTGGCAGTGGACATCGTCAGGCCAGTGCCCCGGAGCACTGGAAACCAGTACATCTTAGTTCTGCTGGATTATGCAACACGTTACCCAGAAGCTGTACCAATGCGAACAATATCCACCCCAAAGGTGGCGAACGAACTCCTGAAGATATTTTCCCGAGTAGGACTCCCTGGAGAACTACTGACCGACCAGGGGACAAACTTCACATCACGCAAATTTGAGGAAGGCAGTAAAGCACTGGGGATTAAACACCTGAAAACAGCAGTGTACCATCCCCAAACAGACAGGCTGGTGGAACATTTTAACCAGACATTAAAGCAGATGCTAAGAAAGTTTGTGGTGGAGAGCCCTCAAAACTGGGACAAAATGATACCCCCATTGTTGTTTTCTGTAAGGGAAGCACCCCAGGCATCCACCGGGTTTTCACCCTTCAAATTATTGTACAGTTGGCAACCCAGGGGGATCTTGGACTTGATTAAAGAAAACTGGGAGGAACAGCAAAGTAAAGAGCAAAACATCTTCCAATATGTAATCCAACTACGGGAACGCCTTGAAGCAGCTCGGAGTGTGGTTTTAGGGAATCTCAGAGAAGCGACGACAAGTAAGACACTACAACCAGGGCGCACGGGAAAGGAAGTTTGATGTGGGGGACCGGGTGTTGGTCCTATTGCCTGACAGTGAAAGCAAATTACTCGCCTGGTGGCAGGGACCCTACAAAATCACACGCCGAGTGGGACCGGTGGACTATGAGGTATACCAGCCAGATAAGAAGAAAAAGAAACAGGTATACCACGTCAATATGTTGAAAAAATGGGAAGTCCGGGAGTGTATGTACTTAGCCCCTCACCCCGAAGAACTAGAGTTGGGACCCACATGGACTGAGGAAAGCGGACCAGGTGATGTAGAACTGGCCCCGCGGTTATCGGAAGAACAGAGGAGGCAGGCAGCTGAGCTGGTCGAAGGCTTTGGAGATGTGTTCCGGGGAACCCCAGGGGAAGCCTGGGGGGTGGTGCACCGCATAAAAACTCCCCCAGGCCAGGTGATATGGGAGAATTGGAGGCGAATTCCCCAGTGGCTCCAAGGCCAGATAAAAGCAGAGATTGCCATGATGTTAGAGAATGGAGTCATATGCGAGTTGCGCAGCGACTGGCGGAGCCCCATCATGGCAGTGCCGAAGCCCGATGGGAAAATCTGCCTTTGCATCGATTATCGAAAAGTAAATGCCATAGCCAAGTTCGATGCCTATCCGATGCCCAGGGTGGATGAATTGGTAGAAAACATTGGGCAAGCTCATTACATTTCCACCTTAGACCTGACGAAGGGTTACTGGCAGGTCCCAGTGGCACCTGAAGACCAGGAAAAGACTGCTTTCGCCACCCCGTGGGGTCTCTTCCAGTTCCAGAGCATGCCATTTGGGCTGTGCGGAGCTGCGGCTACGTTTCAACGATTAATGGATAAGGTACTAGCTCCCCACAGGGGTTATGCCGTGGCCTACATTGATGATATTATTGTATATACGGAAAGCTGGGATGAACACCTCGCTGCACTGAGAGCAGTGGTACGGGACCTGAGGAGGGCTGGGCTGACAGCAGACCCAAAGAAGTGTACAATAGGAAGAAAGGAAACACAATACCTAGGGTTCCTAGTAGGGAGTGGGAAGGTAAAACCGCTGCTGAGCAAAGTGGAGGCATTGCGGAGGTATCAGGCCCCCCGTACCAAAAGGCAAGTAAGAGCTTTCCTGGGGTTAGCCGGTTACTATAGGAAGTCTGTGTCTCTCTTTCGCGGATCTGGTTGTACCGTTGACAGAGATGACAAAAGCAGGGGCTCCAACCAAAGTAAAATGGACACCGGAGGCAGAAAAGGCATTTCAAGCAGTAAAAGACGCGTTGTGCCTACAACCACTTTTATACACACCAGACTTTGAAAAACCTTTCCTGGTGCAAACGGATTCATCGAACGTGGCCATCAGTGCAGTGTTGGTTCAGAGAGAAGGAGGGGACGAGCACCCCATAGCCTATATAAGCAGGAAGTTACACCCGCCAGAACGGAGTTATGCCACAGTAGAGAAAGAATGTCTGGCAATTAAATGGGCTATTGAAACACTTCGATACTATTTGTTAGGACGGAGATTCACGTTGGTAACTGATCATGCACCCCTGCGCTGGTTGCAGACCATGAAGACAGACAATGCCAGGCTCATGAGATGGGCCCTTAGTCTTCAACCATACTGTTTTAAGGTGGAACACTGCCCTGGGACCCAGAATGTAAATGCGGATTTTCTATCGAGACAGTATGAAGAGAGGGAGGGGCCAGGAGGAACAGAAGGATCCTCAACCAGAGAGAGGGGAAGAGGGCATATAGTGGGAGGCCCTAACCGCCCTGCTAAGTGGCGAGGTGAACCCCTCCCATACGGGGATCTACCAAATGGGGCCAACCGATTGGGCGACTGATGAGGCAGCAGGGAGACGAACCCCCAACAATGACGATAAGGCGCCTGCCATCTCCGTTAGAGGGACACGCCTTGCCTGGGACCATCCTACAACCTGAAGAGGCACCCTACCAAGGTTGGCTAGTGTGGGGGGACTACCTGTGGCGGGTAGCTCCCGACAAATCCCACATGGTATGCCTTGGGTAAAAGGCGAGCAGGGGGCACCTAAAAACCTCTGCCATCTTGTACCTAGATGGTCGGGTACCAGAGGAAGACGGGGCACCCACTGAAAGGGGAGACTCGGCTCGGTGAGTCAGGGGCCAAAAAGGGGGGGAGGTGTGTTGCAGTGCACTCAGGTGCCCTGCGCCTGAGAGCGGGGACTGCTCTGGGGAGACCCCTAGTGGCAGAAAGGGGGAGGCTCAGCTGCCAGTCACCAGGGCTGCACAGGTGCTGGTTGCCGGGACAACTGGTAAAACCAGCTGACCAGGAAGGGGCAGGGCTTATCCCTTCTTAAGCCCAGGTAGGAGGCCAGGAAGGCAGTCCC